CCATCATTTTTTTAAAATATACAATCATTGAAATAAAGCATGCATATTTTTCATTTATTTTAAAAAAAATACTTCCACTTCAGAGAAAGACCTGATCAACACTGGGTACATCTACTAGTAAGACATGACATTCAAACAGCAGGGTGTACTACTCATTGGAGAAGCTGGTAAATTCTTCTCTGTTTGGAATCTTCCAAGACTGAATGTCTTCTAAAAGGTATGTTCTAGTTCATCCATAAAGTATCGGGCTTGATCGTGTTCACTGGTTTAGTGGGAAAGGATTATGTCCTCCATAGCGGAAATTACTGGTTGAAATTCTATGGCCTGTTTTATATAGCAATTCAGACTAGCTAAATGGTCTCTCCTGACTTTTGAACTATATGGACAGTGTCTTGAATTGAAAATAAAGGGGATTAGTGTAACAGTAAATCAGGTCCTAAGGATCCATGGATCCCACCAAATGTACAGAATGAGATACACTTTCAAAACTATATATATAATAGTAGTACTAATACATAAATATTCTGGGTCAGACCTTCCTCTCAGTTATGCTGGGTCAGACCTTGCTCTCAGGTAACTCCAGGGAATACAATGGATTCTCATGATTTACAGTAATGGAAGCTGCACGCACAGTCTGGCCTTTTGTGTTCAACACAGACACTACAACAGGCTGTGTAAATCAGAATAATCCGTAGCCATGGATACTCCAATGATTAGCCAAATGACCCTTTCACCTAACAAATACTAAAACAGGCTTAAAAGAAAAAGTATTGTGATAGAGCAAAAAAGACATGAAGTTACTATTCCTGTAAAAGGGAACTATAAAGGCTTGGTAAGAGATGAGTGTACAAAGTACCTCTGCTTTGAAGTATACAGAATAATGCTGTTAACCACAATAATGATGTAAAGAATGTACCTTCTTAAAAAAAAAAAATCTCATTCACAAGTGCTGGCAGGGGCGGGAGGAGGATGGAGAGAATATGCATATCTCTTAGAAGAGCTCATTAGCTGGGAGATTTTATTCAGCACAAAATTAGCCATTTTAGTAATCACATCAATTCAATTAGTAGCAAGGAACAAAAGAAATGTATCTGTTTTTAATGCAAGCCTTTCCAATCGCAGGAGCAAAAAGGCAACAGTGATTCACCGCTATTCAGAGAGTATTCATTCTGTTTCTTTGTGATAGTGTGATGATGGCTGGAGACATCTATGTGACAGTGCAGTGATAGGATCTATGAAAAACTTGTCTATAACTGATACTAAAATGATAGTAGAAAGTCTATGGGACTTAATTCTGCTTATGACACTAACAGCTGAAATCCAGGTCCACTGAGTAAACAGGGCAACATATGGCCCCTGCTATATTGGATCTGTTCTGTTCAGATTCTTAAACCAGATCTGTATGAGATCTGTGCTCCAGAGACTGCAGGCTACTTTCTTTGTTATGTTCTGGGACAATTAAGCATATCATTCTTATAATCTGTAATATCAGCTACATATGGCACTGGGTTCAGGGCAGAAGGGCAAACAGTTTGGGCATGCTCATTCACTTTACCAATTAAGGCTCTACATTGCAGCTGTTCCAAATTTCCTGCTTTGGCTTATTAACACTTATGCAAGGGGTGCTTTGCTTTTGCATATCCCCTGGAGACCTTAGCAAATGCTCTGTTTTAGTTTGTGTTTTGCCTGTTTCCAGTGACAAGAAGAGTAAATGGAAGGAAATATTTACAGGCTGCTGTGCTGTGAAACAGCTGTTGTGCAGAAATTCACACGTGAAAATTTCTTCTGTGTGTTTGAAGAGTGTAACAGTTACAGGAAAGCCAAGCTTTGGCCACCTAATGAACAAGGTCTGAGGTCAGTGAGGGCAAACATTCTGGAAATCTTCAGCAGATGCTCTACACAGTAATTGGTTTGCATTTTGGCTGCATTTAAATCAATTAAGACATGCCAGAACTAAGCTTGTCTTAGGCAGACTTTATCTTAAAAAGATAACTATACAGTGAGGCTGTGTCTAGACTGGCAAGTTTTTCTGCAAAAGCAGCGAAAATGGCAATCGGGGCTTTTTTGCGGAAAAGCGTGTCTAGATTGGCACGGACGCTTTTCCGCAAAAAGTGCTTTTGCGGAAAAGCGTCCATGCCAATCTAGACACTCTTTTCCGCAAATGCTTTTAACGGAAAACTTTTCCGTTAAAAGCATTTGCGGAAAATCATGCCAGTCTAGATGTAGCCTGAATGAACAAATGAGAAGCTTGAAAAGGCTGATATCATGAAAGAGAGGGTGGAAGTAGGGACTGGATGTGTGCATGACACTGATAAACATGGTACTGAGTCTAAAAGAGACTGTTCAGGAGGTGGATAAATTGTTGAATGGGGGATTAAATACAGGCCAGATAAATGTTATTGATGACTATGTACGGGTAGTAGATTGCCCTGGGGACACTTTTTGCCTGGCTGTTGAAAATAGCATCACTGCTGAAGCCTCACTTCTTGTAAATGACTTCAAACATAACAGGATTAGTGAGACCACAGGTGAGGCTATGTTTGTCATTCAAGATTCTATTGAGCCTCTGCCTACCCATCTGGCTGAGTTAACTAGGTTCTCTGGGCAACTGTATAGTTAATGAATACAGCTGATTAATATAACTTTTCTACAGCAGCAGCAAGCTATAGAAATTAGTTTGTTGTGAAAGAAAACAGTGCTATCAGTAGAAATACCAGAATGAGCCTATTATATATAAGCAACTAAAATATTCAACTACTATCATATGACTGAGTAGCATTAACCAGGGGAGAGGAACCTTTTTTGTGTCAGGGGCCACAGACCACAGAAAAATCAGTTGCGGGGAAGGACACAAACAAGTGGAGAAGCAAAAAAAAACAAACAAAAAAAAAAACCGAATAAACCATCTCCTCACACAGCAGAGCCTTGGGGGCCCAAGCTAGTAGATTGTGTGCACTCCAGCCCCATGTGGGGCTGGAGCACCATCATGGGCTCTCTGATATTGAGGGAGGAGCCCCAAGCCTCAGGGGCCAGATCCAAGCAAGCCTGAGGCCCCATCCAGTTCCTAGGCCTGAGGTTCCCCACCCCTGTATTAGACAATTGCAGGTGTTTGGCTATCAACAACAAGACCATGAACAATCCACCTCAAAAGCTTTGTTTTGTCTCTACTATGCCAGGCATCAATGCTGCAGTGATCAGTCCACTGGCTGTCAATTTATCATGTCTGTTTAGACCTGATAAATTGATCTCTGAATGCTCTCCTGTGGCCACCAGTACTCCTAGACAACGGGAGTAGCCCCCACAGTAAGCTATTTCAACTTCAGCTACTCTATGGCTGCGTCTAGACTGGCATGATTTTCCGCAAATGCTTTTAACGGAAAAGTTTTCCGTTAAAAGCATTTGCGGAAAACTTTTCTGCAAAAGCACTTTTTGTGGAAAAGCGTCCATGCCAATCTATACGCATTTTGCGCAAAAAAGCCCCGATCGCCATTTTAGCCATCGGGACTTTTTTGCGCAAAACATATCTGAGCTGTCTACACTGGCCCTCTTGCGCAAATGATTTGCAGAAGAGAGCTTTTGCCCGAACAGGAGCAGCATAGTATTTCTGCAAGAAGCACTGATTTCTTACATGAGATCATCAGTGTTCTTGCGGAAATTCAAGCAGCCAGTGTAGACAGCTGGCAAGTTTTTCCGCAAAAGCAGCTTTTGCGGAAAAACTTGCCAGTCTAGACACAGCCTATTTGTGTAGTTAAAATGATGTAAATTAGATTGACGGCAGGAGTTAGTATAAATGAGGCCTTTGCATCATAAGGGAACCACAAACATTCCCATAAGCATTGAAGTCATATTTCTAATGCTGTTTTAAGACCATTTGTTCCCTACTCACAATAAATGTTATAATCCTCCCCAGAGAAGGCAGCCTTGGCAGACCTGGGAGTGCTGTTCAGATTCCTCTCTAGCATTTTATCATTAACTGCTTTCTTCACTTTATATCCACAGCTGTAGAGTATGGGGTGGGAAGGGCTCAGACAAGCCAACAGAAGCATGTTATGTATTAAGTTGTATTTTTGTGTTTGTAAGGTACAATTTAAAAAGTTTCAGTGTATATGTGTGGTGTTTTCACTGCTGGCTGTGGAAATATTGGTAATCATAACAGAAAACAAGCAATTTCACAATTGATGGGACAACACAAAAACTTTAGGGACTTCATCACTGTTCCTAGAAGCAGCAGACATTTAAATTAACACAAACAGATGTAGGCCCTCTTATAACTGCTAGCTCAGGGGATATATTGGGAATTGGAGGTGCATCCTCATAATACTTTGGGAAATCAGTAGGTACTGTGGAGTCAGCTCTACAACAGGTAAGCTACCTGTTGTTTTACTTTATACTGAAAGACACCCCCATCCCTGACAAAACTCAGAATAAAAGGGTGCCACCCATCCCTTGATTTGCACACTCTAGATTGCACCTCCTAAAGGCACAGCAGTGTCCTTCGTACACAATTTTGACTCTTCGAGCTGTCAAAAAGCCCCTTTCAGTTTAAGGACTAAATTCCTCCTAACTTCATTTTAAAAATGAAGCTAGCAACTGATATTGTTTTAGAAAGAGACCAAAGAGGAAGCAAGCCTAAAATCCATATCATCCTCTCTATATTTAGATCTAATTTATCATCATCCCAGACCAGTCTATTATTGAGCTCTTTGTACTTGAGTGAGTGCCTCTGTCAGTTTGTTGGATAATTAAAGAACCATGATTACAACTACATCATTTCATGCTTTTGTTATGAGTGTCACACATTTGGGTTCTGAAGGGTTAAGAGATGCTACAGTATCAGCTGGCTACCAACCTGTAGGCCACCCTTTGTCTAATGATTTTTTTAGGGGGGGGGGGGGGGTCTTTAACTTGCCTTTTAATTGCTTTCTGCTGCATTCCAAACCAGTCAGTACTCTTGCAATTTACATGTTCCTCACAATGCTGTAGGAAAAATGCTGCTTTTGGTAACTGCTTCCAACTTTAGAATTAAATAGAAGTGGTGTGCGCTAACCCCAGTTATGGGAACTCTGCCAGGAAGGGAAGATTTGATGCTTTAGGAAGACAGCTGTGCCAGTACTCAAGCAATCATGCTATATTGTTAAACTTGTGTATTTGACATCTTTCTAAGCTTATACTAACTTTCAGATCCTTAATTGCTTTTGCGTATTTTTAACCTTGAAGCTAAAATATTAAATAAAAAACCACATTACAGTCTGAGTCCCTGGAGTGGCAATAACTTCTAAAAAGAAGGTGAATTACAGCACTGTAAGAGGTTTCTTAACCTCCAAACCCTAAAGTGACTTCATTAACAGCATACAGAGCCATAATGATCTAGCACATAGCTATGAATAGCTCTGTGCTACTTTAATTGTCTGGTGCATTCTGTTCTTTAAACAGTTTCATAATTCTCATTGTCAAGGATGTGTATGAACATTTGGGGAAAGCACTAGGTTACAGGAAGTTTAACCCAGATGACTTCTTAAAGGAAAGACTGTCTCATGGACTTTCCTGGCCTTCCATTCACAGCCCTATTTCCAGTCAGTTATGCTCATAATATCCTTATAAGGAGCTACATTGATTACACTACACTTGTCTGGAATGCTATGTAAACAAATTACTAATGCAATCTATTAACTGGAAAGAAGCTGGGATGTTCAGAGGAACCTACAAATGCTAGGTACCCAAACCCCAATGAAATACTATGGGAACTGAACACTTAGTTCCCTTAAGCACCTTTGAAAATTCCAGTTAAAATGATATTCATGTGGTTTGGTTCTGTAAAACAGAAGCTTCTTTCCTACTGCCTTGTAATTCTATATGCAACTTTTAACAAATTAGACAAGTCCAAGATAGAGGATTACCCCCTCCTCTGTGAATCATGCAGGACAGCCAAGCATAGTACAGAGGCAGTTTCAACAAAGGTTTCCTCCCCTCCAAAAAAGGTTGTATTTATTCAGCACCTTGGCTCTTTTCTTCTATTAATCCCCCCTGGACAAATGTCTAAACTTGGAACGGAGAGCAATCAACCATACCTAATCCTCCAAATACTACATGGAAATAGCAGATATATAAAATATTCAAATCCCTCCATAAGCCTTATTTCACAAAATTAGGAAGGTCTCAGCACCTATGCTGCTAGTCTCATTGTTAAAATAAACCAAAGTTATAAATCAGTACCCTGCTCCTGTTGATTTATAGGGGAGCTAAAGAAGGATCCAATACAGACCTATTCTTAGTGTATTCGGTCATTAGATTAGATGCTCCCTGTCCCAGGTACTATATCTGTCTTTGTCTGCTAGCAGCAGCTGAGTTATTGGACCAGCTCCTCAGCTGGGATAAATCTATGAAACTTTGACTCCAGTGGATTACGCCAGCTAAAGACCTGGTCCATCACCTCCACCTAACTGTTAAAGACACAGCAATCAGAACCCAGATAACTAAAGACGCCAGATATGCTATGTTTTTTAAAAAAACTTTTATAATAAAGTTTATTAGGTTATCTTCATTAGAAATATTATAAAATAGAATATTCTGCCCAGCAGAAAAATAATGCCAGGGTTTAAAAACCCTGAGTTTGTGCAAACAGTTTGTGTAAACATAAGTAATCAAGTGTTTAGGTTCCATCCCAAAATACAGTAAGCTGCTACAAAAATAAATTTGGTCATTCAGATTAAAAAACACAGCTATCTTCACACCTCACATACTTAATGCTTTCTTTATATCTGAAATGGAAATGATTTCAGGTAGTCCTTTAAAACTGGATTGAGAGGGATGTGGTTTAAATTCTCTCTCCCGAATGTTGCCACAATGCTTTTCCGGCAGAGCTCCTGCAATGGCCGTAAACGGACTTTGCGTAATGGGGTGACCAGCACCTTCTTAGAGGAGCTTATATAATGTTCCAGTAGCTTAAAGAGACAGTCAAAACTCTCCTTGCTGCCATCCAGGCTGAAACGCCCAGCTTGAAAGTTGATTCGGATGCTGGTAGGTCCAGTAGCCGTCTTAACACTGATGGCAAAGAAGCAATTTTTTTGTCTGCTGTCTCTGAGGAGGAAAGTGCCCTCAGGCTCAGATTTCAGCTTCTCATGGGCTGCGCTGACTGACAGTGGGCCCCAGTAGAAGCCACATGCATCCAGTAGGGCACTTGCTCGGGTGATGCTACTGAAATCCGCCTGTGAGCGGAAGGTTCGGAAATGTGTGTCGCTCTGTGCTTGCACAGTGTTGGACCGAGCCGGGCCATGGTAACCTCTAGGCTGAGAATGATCCCGTGCTGGAGGGTCAAGTCGACATCTTGGGTCTGCTGCAACTGCATTATCTGCTGCCACCTTACTGTGCGCTACCATCCTATAGACTAGACCAGCGGATGCGGTCTTCCATAGCGTCAGTGGCCAGGGCGGTGCAGCTCTCTAGCAGCTATTCTGAAATTCCAAAACAAAAAACAATATTAGACCCTCAGGAAAGAAAGAAGGAGAAAGGGGCCCTCAACCTATGTAAACGGAGTCACATCACTATGTTTCCTTGTAAGAAAATAAAACCCTTATCCTGCTGATTTAAATCTAGGAAACAACTGATTAATAGCATCACTTTTTGGCCAGGTTAGCAATCCATTGCTTTTACAACATCTGAAGCTGAGTATCCAGCCAGGGAATCAGTTACAAATTATGCAGTTTCCCTATTAGTCATAGAATTAAACACATTCTGGATCGAGATGACTGATGGGAATCTTATTTAAAATACATTTTCTACATATAGCCTTCTCCATTACTTCCTTAACCTTGCATAAAAACATGTAACTACTGATTTGCTCATTTCCTTTTCTTGGACGTAGAGATCTGGGCTCTGACTGTGTTTGTTACACTGTAATAGAAAAAGTGGCTAAAGGAAATGTGAACTCTGCAGCTGGGTACAAATCTTCAGAAAGTGAATGGAACTGGCAGAAATGAATGGGTGGCAATGGCATTGTGCAGTTCAAATATGATTGGTAGTGCATTTTGTATCACTGCCAAGTTACTCATAATCCTAAATCTACTCTTTCTTCAATAAGCTGGTAACACAAGCATAGAGATCCATTTCCCGCCCCTTGTTCTCCCTCAGGGATTGCAGTGCTACCACCTCACTAAGCCATCACAAAACAACCTCTATGAACCCTTAAAGCATTATTCCTCTGTCTCTCTTTTTTTGTATTGCATGCACATTAAGTGGCCCAATCTAAATTGCTTCCTATTGATGTATCTTTCAGCACCAAGAGCCAAATTCATCCCTCATGTAATTCCTTTGAAATAAGCATTGTTGTACCAGCAATTAATTTGGCCTCAAATGTCTACTTCGGCAGCATGGTTCGATACATCTCTGCTGGCTGCCTTGACCTTACTGGCAAGCATAGATTTTAGGATTTATCCCTTCTGTCAATTATAGAGCCACACTGGCAGATTGTTGAGAAAGCTTGAGGCATTCTCAGAAATGAATCCCCACAGCTGTCTCAAGTACACAGCAACATGCCTACTCAGAATCACAGACAGCACTTAACTGGATTCCTGTCTGTAACTGTGACAGACACTTGAGTTCAGTTTCATTTAGATCATTTTAGTGACTAAAATTAGAAATAAAATTCCAACATCAGCAAATAACTTAAAACAAGTGAAGGTTTTCTTCACATGACACTTTTCTAATTGGCTGAGGATCACTATTCAAAGTGAAAAATAAAAATCAAGGCCCACGGGGTTTAGGTATGAAACATTAAGATGCTCCAGAGTAACCCATTCACGTCCAAGAGAAGCAAAATATTTTACTCTTTTGGGTGAGGACATAAAAAGGAGTCACTTCACTGTCGGTAAGCTTGACAACAGAGTGGCTTTCCCGTGCCTCATTACAGGGTCCGATAGCTGTTTGTCCTACGAGCAGGGGTTTTGCCCCGCTGTTGTCCCCTCCCGGCCCAGCTAACGTTGGTCTGCCAATTTGCCACTGCGCTCCACCCCAGAGATGGATACTATTCAAGGATGCAACAGGATCTATACGTCGCAAAGGGCTCCGGGATCCTTTGGCAAGCAGGGAGTTAGCTAGAGGCGCAGCGAAGGACGATTCTGCTACCTCATCCGCCCATCGTTAGCCCAGTTCTGTAGGCTGGTGAGTTCTTGCGCGAAGGCTCGGAAGTCCTCGAACGCTTCCAGCTGGAAGCGGACTAGGGCTCGCTGCGCAGCAGGACCCCGCTCGGGGCCGCCTCGCGAGGGCTCGCGCAAAACAGCGCCCCTTACCTTCTCTGCCCTGGGCCGCGGGGATCAGCGCTGCGCCATCAACCCGCGCAGCGCGCTCCCGGCCCCCGCGCGCAGTGGTGCACTCCTAGGGCTGGCACCCGCAGTCGCGCCACCATACTCTGCCAGCGAGCCCTGCGCGGAGCTCGTAGCCTAGCCAGGCTGGTGGCTGCGCTGGAGCCGGACTGCTCCGCTGTCGCTCAGCCCCGGCTCTTTTATACCCGGGCCGGCTGCGGGCGGCTCCGCCTCTCCCCGGGATTCGCAGAAAGCACGTGGCCCCCACCGCTCACTTTCACTTTCCATCTGCGTCAGGCGCAGCCGCGCTCAGGCGGGGGAGGGGCGGCCCGGCGGCTGCTTTCGCTTCTCAGGAATCGGGCGGCCGGGGCGCTTCGGAGGAAGCCTGGCGCGGGGCCCAACGGCCGCCCCGCCCTGTCGCCGGCCGCTTCTAGGGAAAGGCGCGGCCGGGGCGCTCTCGCTGGCACGAGGCGCGGAGCGCTGCCCCCTCCCCCGGCAGTCTCCGGAGCCCGGCTGGGCAGGAGGGAGGGCTCCTGGGCAGCTCGCTTAGGCGCCCTCGCCTCTGGCTCCATAATAAAGCGGGGGGCCCGCCTCGCTCGCCTCCTGCCTCTGGCGCATAAAGGGACCAGTCGTCAGCAGCGGGCGGCTAGTGTGTTGGGGAAACCGAGGAAGGAGGAAACGCTGACAACGCACCGCAGCACTCTGGGGCGCACAGGTGCGGTGATGGAGGCAGATGTTAGAGGTGTGTAGCGACGGGAGGGTCGGGGCAGCTGGCCTAGGCTATGAATTTACTGGGGAGGGAAGGGCATAGGGGGTGGAACTTGTAGAGGTAGTGGGGGCCCTCCAAGCTAGCTGGTCACATAGATGTCCTGGTGAGTAACATGGTAGCGCTGTCAATTATGAATTATTATTAACAATTATTTATCAAATGGCATCCCAACATACACGACAAATAGGGGTATAATAAAGAATACAAGGGGGGACCTGGGTTAGTTTTCTCTGACCCCCATAGATTTTGAAATCCTCTTTTGAAACCTTGCTTTAGTTATTTGTCCCCAAGTGTGTATGTTTGTTCCTTGAGCAGGCCCACCTGAAATGTAGTTCACTCAAAGGAGAAACTTTTTAAAGTTAGTAAACACCTATTTAAATGGCTACGTTACCTTTATTTCCAATCTGATGGTGTGAGAAATACCAGCTCACCCCCATCTCCCGTTCAAAAACTGAGTCAGCTAATGATTAGCTCTGATGACAACAAGGAGAACACAAGCATTTGACTGCAATTCCTGCAGACTGCAACTTGCTTCGCCGTATGTTTTGAGCCCTAATACAATGTAAGATAGAAATTATACCAGTCCTCTATGCTGAAGTTTTGAATTGAGTTTTTCATTTAACGCAGGGTTTTAACATCTTTGGTAGGTATGGAAACTACAGCACATCCTCCACAAAGTAAAGCGTTTACTCTGAGCACAGACTGAATAAACAGTGATCTTTCATGCCTGCAGAGTGCACATGCTCTGGAATGCATGCAATAGGTGACAGAGGTGCCTGGTGTTCTGAGGTAGCTGTTGCCTTGGATTGGGAGCAATAGTAGGAGTGAGATTTTCCCCCTCTTATAATGGTAACTGTGATCTTTCTGGGACCACACAAAAGTCTGCTTTCCATCTGACTGATAGGTGCTGGACATAGCCTAATCTGCGATCAATTTAAGGGCATGTGTTTTCCAATTGTTCTTGAGTGTAATTGTTCCTTTCGCAGTCCCTCTCCACCACAGGCATGACTAACATAATGGTGATGGCTTGGCTTGCAGAGAGTTCAGTGTTAAACTTGGAGATTCACACTAAGGTATTTAAATCTTGATCCTCAAATGCATTTAGGCACTTAACCTAAAATAAATACCTTTGAGGAGCAAGGCCTTAGTTACCTGAAGAGACCTCTAGTGGTTCTGTTCCCTATTTGGATGGCAGATATAACAAACCAACTTAGTATGAATGGTATGTATTGTAATCAAATGTACAAATCATCTGCTTCCAAAGAACTGAGCAATTGAGCTTTGTGCTTGCTTTTTGTGATTGTTCATGTCAGTGAAGCTCATGTGTGCAAATATTTGTGGAATGTGAATGTAAAAGTGTAAAATTTAAATTCTTTTGTTTGAATAGATGTTAGTGAAAAATCGGTTTGCATTGTTTTCTTAGTTGCCATGAGCACCGTCATCACAACTGAGCTGATCTATTCGATGACTGTCACTGAGATTTATCTATTTATTTTTATTATGTACCAAGATTCCCCATTGTGTTCTGCGAACCTGTATTGTAAGACATGGCCTCTGCCCCAAAGAGCTAACAATTAGACAAGAAAGACAAAGGATGTGAAGTCAAAGAGAAGTGAAGTGACTTGCCCATTCTCATACAAAAGGTCAGTTCTGCAGCTCAGATCTCCCGAGTCCTAGCCCAGTGCTATATACATACAGCCATATATTTTGAGTGTAGAGTAGGGATGTTAAAACATTTATTTTTGTAAATGTGCAACCACTGAATTTTTTTCAGTGGTTACACGTTTACATGCAAGAGGGCAGGCAGGAGTGGGTACTTGCGAGGAGGTGGTTTTTAAGAGGCAGAGGCTGATACAGAAGCAGCAGTGCAGGGGACAGGCCGGAACTGGCTTGAAAGCCAGCTTCCTGAATGTACTGGCTCCTGCCCGCCCCTCAGGCACGGGGCAGATTTTGCAGCCATCATGCAGCGCAAGAGGAAAATGTTACAAGTTTCTTCCAATTTCCATAAAAGCTACATGTGGCTAGCTATAGGCAAACAAGATCAGATAAGAGGGAGAGATCAGCTGCTCAGCTGCCATGTGTTTTTCTATTATAGATTGCAAGGGGAAATCCTGGTATGTGTGTGTAGGTACATCAAGCACTCGGTAGAAGGAGGTCTTTCCAGGAAGGGAACAGGCAGAACTGCCTGAAAAGGGTAATCTAGGCCTCATGGATCAGCAAGAGGGAATGGAGAGGTCTCAGTTGGTAGCTGTGGTCAGAGCAGGATGAGACTTGTAGGAACAACAGCACTGGTGGCTCAAGTGGAAGGAAGTAACATGAGTGCACATTGTGAAAGCCACAGAGAGTTGATGTGTGTGAAGGTTGGCACCAGTCTTAGGTGATCACAACTGTACCCAGATGGCCTAGGGGGAGATACTCAGAGACCCAATGGTTCCCTACAAATAGCTGATGATTCTCTCTTGAGAGTGCTGTAGTGGATATTCATTATTTATAGTAGAGAGCTAATAAAACTGGATGGAGATTATTCCTCTCTGGCAATGTGTTGTAATGGGGACTGTTATGCTCCGGATGGAGGAAACGTTATAAAATGGGCAGGGTGGCCAAGGAGCCAGTCATACCACTTCACTCTTCATCCGCTGTAGAATTCCTGGGACATTTCATTCCCTTAATCACCTCTGCCCTGGAGGGTCCTTCCATCACTCTTCATTCCTTTGTTCCATCAGCTCTTCCTCCTCTTGCTTATCATAGGAGAGAGAATGCTTGTGAGGGTTTGGCTTGCTGGAGTGGACAAAGTACAGTAGACTTGCAATAATCCGGAACCTTTGGGACCTAGGTGGTACCGGATTATTGGATATGCCAGACTATCAGGAGTGTGTGTGTGTGTGTATATATACACACACACACACACTGTAGACAATATATACTGTATATAAAGTGTCTTATCATAGGAGAGAGAATGCTTGTGAGGGTTTGGCTTGCTGGAGTGGACAAAGTACAGTAGACTTGCAATAATCCGGAACCTTTGGGACCTAGGTGGTACCGGATTATTGGATATGCCAGACTATCAGGAGTGTGTGTGTGTGTGTATATATACACACACACACACACTGTAGACAATATATACTGTATATAAAGTGTTAACCCTTTACCGTATACTGTATACAGTATGTACATTAAAATGTTTTAGTTTTTTTAACCCTTTTTTACCCTTTTCACTCAGTTCAGCTGCTGCCGCTACTGCCTTATGACTCGTTTTTTGCCAAAGCTCGCTCACTAGGCTCTTGCCATTTTGATGCTGGACTATCGGGAGTACTGTACAATTGGAGTTTTACTATGTATTTTGCCCACTATAGGACAGTAGTGCATATAAACAGCCAATAAAAGTTTACAGACTTGCCCAAAAATAAAGAAAGGAGGCTCCATATTAGGGCAGCAGGATCCCCTGGAGCTTGAAGTGTGTCTGGCAATTAGTATTGTAATCCTTCTGCCAGATCCAGGTTCAATATGTAGGGCCGTGGTCACCAATGGGTCAATCGATCGCAAGGCCTTGACCAGGTGATTGCGAGGTATCCTGTCTGCCCCGCCCCCATTTCCCTCCCACCCCCGAGAAGCCACACTACCCA